TGCAGTCACCCACCTCACTTGAAATGTAAATATTTTTCATATTGGTACAGAATAGTTACCTATTCAGTGTCATCCTTAGCAAAAGCAGTGTAACTGCAGGCAATCTTTTGCTTTTGAAAGCTCTGAGGTGACCTCAGAAGAATATGCTGTCTCCAAAATATTAAAACTGGATAATGGAGTACTTTTGTCACTCTAGTGTATCTGACTTTAGCTCCTAGGTTTTATCATTCCAATGAGAAGAGCTGCAATTCACAGCTTTGCTTTTCTTTACTGCACGTGCTAGGGACAACTCTGAAAGTTATGAAATTAAGGGAATTTATCTGGTTTCATGCAGCAGATGAAAGAGCAAATGTCTCAGGACCTTGTGTGCTAGCAACTTGAAGAAGCTTTGAATAGTCCTGGGGCCATGGTAAGCAATTAATTTACAGAATTGTGTTTAGTATCTGCAGCACTGGCAATGGTGCTTTGCCTGCTAGACAGCTTTGTGCTGACAGAACTGAACCATTGAACAATCTTCCCAGCGCTTCCAATGGACTTAGAAACACCCATGAATCTCTGAGGAGGTGGTTGCGTTTGGTAGCCACGGGCAAATTTCTGTGCATTTATTAAGAAGTGGTAAGCTGAAGGAGCAGATGTGATGAGGACTGCAGGAAATGTCAGCGTGGGTGAGAGACACATCGTTAATGAGACACATTAAAGCCTGAGATACAGGGCTTTAAAGAGCAGCGTCAGAGCCTTGCTTGTTAATGCCGAATATAAAAGTATAGTTTCCCTCAGGACAGAGCTGCAGGGGAAGGCAGAACAAACACACATAGCAGATGATAGCTGGAGTAGAGGAGGTGCTGAAGAACACTGGGTAGTGGATAAGGCCTATCGTCAGACTGCTCCTGCAGATGGAGGTTAGATTGTAAGCACTTTTCAGCTGAGCCCCTTTTTTGCTCTGTGTTGTGTACTGTGTCACTGTATTGAATAGAGATTTTTCCTGAGGCTCCTAGTTACTATCAAACCATAAAGTAATCATTATTAGCAATAAAACAACTTCCATTTCTTCTTTTCCATAAAACTTAAGAAATTCCCACTTTGAGATTTTCTTTGTAATGGAATCTACATGCTAGGGCTTCTAGCCTTGTTCTATGTGTTACAGATCTACATGGTAGTGTGAAAACATTAGCAGGTCTAAGTCAAGTTATCTCCATGGTCTCCAGGGAAACTAGATGTACTTACATAATCTCAGAATCTGGCCTCCTTTTGTTGTGGTTTGCTTTTTAACCAGATTTTTTTTTGTTGTTTTCTTTTTGCCGTATCTACTAACCATTAAGAAAACATGAGTTATTTCACAGATATACATTATGCTTTCCTCACCGCATTTACAAGGAACTTACAGGTAGTGATTTTGTTATGTGAGTCCTTAACTATATTTCTTCACTTCCCAGGGCTTATAAATTGCATTGTGGCAGAATACTGTAAAGACTTGACCTGGATCTGGAGTTACCTGTGCATTGAGGCCCTGTGGTGAAAGCAGGTGAACCAGCACCAGGAAGGGCATTGTGTCACCACCTCAGGGAGCAGCCAGGGCCTGGTGGGGCTTTGTCCCAGCCCGTGGGGCACAGCACCCACCACATTAGACAGGTAAAGGGACTAATATATTCTGCCCCATAGGAAGCTCATCTGGCCTTTGCAAGGGTTACTGGTTTGGTGGTTGGAGGTGTCTGAATCAGGGCCATAATTCCCTTGTTAGTGGTGAAGTCACAACAAACCCCTTCATTAAGGAAATGTGCATTTTCCACTTTAAATGCAGTTTGGGCTGCAGGGAACAAGCAGCAGACAGTCTTTTCTCTCCCTGGAGTGTGTGGGTAAGGGAGCAGCAGTGAACTGGCAGTTTTACACTTAGCTTGTGCTGCGTTGGGAATGTGGGATCCTCTTTGTCCAAATTGTTGGTTTGGTTGTTGCTTTTAAATAGTTTACTTCATGATATATTGGGTTGGAAGCTCCTGCAGCCATACAGTTCACTCAAATTCCCCTTCCATTTTCTGTGTAAATAACATTGTCCTCATTCTCTATGATAATGAGACAAAATGAACAGAACAAGTGGGGATTTCTCAAACTGGGAATTCTCTGCTAACATGCTTGTGCTATGATGGGACTTGAGGTCTCCCCTCATCGTAATTTATAACTGCATCAGGAATTACTCTTGGGCTCTTGAGCTTGTATATTTGTAAATATACATTATATATTTTATATATGTATAATATATCTTGAGCTTATATATCTGTAAAACTTCAGCATTTGCAGGGTCTGAATCTGGAAAAGCTTGAGACTAAAGCACTAATACAGTGTTACTGCCTTCTAGAGAATTGGATTAGTGGGGTTAAATAGAGACTTTAATTCAACACACTTTGGAAAATTAAAGTATCATAATAATTACATGTTTTATATGTATGCATATATGTGGACGTGTATATGTATGCATGTATATTATGGAAGCTTAAACAAATAATGAAGTAACTGCAGAAAGAAAAGTGGGACAAGTCTCTGCTCTCAATTCCTACCAGAGAAATATGAAAAAAATAACAAATCCAGAAAAAAAATCAGTTCAAAGCTTAAGGAACGTGCAGCCTTTGAGGGTAGTGAGTAACAGTGGATCCTACACAGGAGCTGTGATTTCTTGCACCAGCAAAGAGAGCTGTAGGGCTTTTCACTCAGCCTTGGTTTTCCATTAAATACATAGCACATAATGAACGGCTCAAGAGAGAACTTGTCGAAGCAGTTTGTACACGTTCTTAAGAGCAAGTCACTAATGGCTGAACCTAGCACCAGTGCTCTTCAGGGCTGTTTTTTTCAAATTATGATATGTGTAATATGCTTGGTGGACTTTTGAGATGTTAAGAAACAAAGCATGTGTATCATTAATCTCTAACTTGGATTACTTGTTGTTTGCAGGGATGTGGACATGCAGTCCATTGGAGTGGTCGTTATGGCCATGCTCAGGACCTCCTCTGCCAGTCAGCTGGCAGGACCTGATGGTGTTTATTATGTAGACGTGCAGAAAGGTGGAATGGGAGCAATTGCTTTTCTCTGCAAAAAGATAGATAACAGGCACTGCAGAAGCTGGATGATGTCATGGCTCATGAGGTGAGTTTGTGCCCCCAGGGGAAGCACTGCATGCAGTCATGGAGGAGCAGGAGCCTGCTTTCCTTCTGTCAGGCTCTCAAGAGCCATATCAGCACTCAAAACTGGTGAATCAGGGGGCTTTTCTAGCACTTCTGAAGAAAATTCCACGGTGGCTTAGCTTGTCATGATCTCTTCTAGTGCATGGAGTTACAATTCAAATAAATAATTATGGATTCTTAAATCCCTACAGGAACAGGGCACCACCCAGGAAGAAAGGTTTGTTTTTCAGCTTTTTACTACACTCTTTATGGCCTGGAAGTGAATGGTCTGGACTGCTTGGTTCTAGTTTGCTGCAGTATTCTTCTTTCAGCAGGTCTCTAGTTGCTTTCAGTGAGCCTTGGCTTCTCTCTTCTCTGACTGATGGAGGTTCTGTGAGGAAGCCTTAACATTCTCTGCCAGGATATGATGTTGGCAAGGTGGGTTGTTTGCTGGAGCAGTCTTGCCCTTATCATGTGATGGTTTTCTGGCCTCTGAGCCAATTAGGCAGAGTCAGGGAGGCTCACTTTATTCTTGGAGCTGTGCTACTTTGCAACAACCACTTTACTGTGGCTGGGCTTTCTATGAGAAACATCCCATCTGGTAGCTGAGGTGCTTTCCCCGGTGATTTCCTTACAGAATCTGAGGCACTGGTACGTGACTGTTACATGAGGGTGACAGGCTGAGACCAACAGTTAACTCTGTTACTTTTCAGCACCATCTTGCAAACAAACAGAAATGTCGCTGCACTAATTCCATCTATTTTTTTCACCTCAAGATGGAAACTTTCCAAGCCAAAATCAAAACTGAGCAGCACGAAAAGCATCAAGAACTGTGTGCTCAAAGTTACTTTATCTCCAGGATATTATCATAGCAGTCTGGGGAGTAGTTTCTACTACTCTGAGATCTGAAGTTCAGTATCCTTATAACCAAATTATAGCTTGTCAAGTGGTGATATTGAGGTGGTGTTTGTATAAATCTGAAGAGCAGAGCTGGACACATTAAAGGTGAAGCAATTTCATTCTTTATTTACAAGCTTAGCCACACAAGATGATTTAACACAAACAACTGCAGTGCTTTGTTTGAGATGAAAAAATGGTTTAATCCAGAAAATATTGCCAGTGTCACTACAGATATACATCTAGTGGACAGAAATACTTATGGCAATTTTATTTTTAGAGCAGCTATTTCTGTACTTTCTCAAATTATGTAAAACTCCAGGTATTTAACTTGTGAGAATAAAAATACAAAGTGGGAAATAGAAGGTAACCCATACAGACATGGAGCACAGAGATAAAATGGAAATACTCAGTAGAAGCAAAGTATTTGAGTGAATCATCTTCTCAAAGTGCCTTTCATTGCCTAATGAAAATCTGAGTTCTGTCTGTCACAGAGACACTTTGCAATATTACAGACTCCTCCTCCATACCAGACTTTGTTACTTCTGACAGGGTCAGGGCCAGAGTTGAGCTAAAGATAAGAAGTAGGCAAATACAGCCTTCCAATCTGTCTTGTTTTCCTGACAAACTTGTTAAGAAAAAATATAGTGTTCTGGGTTATTTAATCATTACCTTTTAATGTTCTCATTAAAGCCTTTAAGCCATTCAGTATCTTAAACATCAAACTCACTTAGCTAATAAAAGCACTCAGGTCATCTGTCATGCTGCCTTCCAGCTTCATAAACATGGAATATTTCAGGAACACAACTTTTTACACATTCCTTCTTCTGTAAATTGTCTTGCAAGTGCTCTTCTTTTGACGAAAATACATACCAAGGTATTTCAGCTGTGACTGCATAAAACTTAGTTCTCCCAAATAAAATACTGAAACGGCGTTTGGGTTCTGGGTTTTTGCTAAAAGCCGTGCAGAAAAGTCTCTCGTTCTTCTAACTTTGGTAAAGGGATGTTACCTGATAGAAAACAAAACCAGAGGTGTGTGAGATTGGCTGCAAGTTACCCTCTGGGTAGTACCACTTGGCACAAACGTGCTTCTCCAGTTGATTGAGTATGTACAGGCAGCGTCGATGCCCTGAGCAAGGGATGCAGGTCCTCTCTGACTTCCTGTAAAGAACTGCCCAACCTGTGCAGTAACTTTCAAGCCAGATTAGCTACTGAACTGCTTCTGCACCAGTGGCTGCAAACTTCAATACAGATAGCTGCAGTTAGTGATTTTAGGGCCTCCTTATTACTAGCTGGTATTTCAGAAAATAAATGCAGCTATAGCAGGTTATATCCCTCAGGTTAATTCAAGCAAGATTAAGAGATTTTTTATAAGCACAACAGTACCTGGTGGGGCCACAAAATATTCCTCTACTTTCTCTCTGGCATTTTTCAGCAGCTCTTTTGTGCAGTTGCCTTCTGTAACATCATCTTCTCTGAGGTACAGACACCTGAAGAACAAAGATGACTAGCCTGTCTTTAAGCTATGCCATGACTGTGAAGTAGGAAGTGTGGCTTACCTCTAAACCTGGTTTTGGTCTGAAGTAAGCAGTAAGACAAGCACTGGAAACATTGCAATACATTTTGAAGCAACTAAGCCACAAGCAGATATTTGGGGAGCAGCACATGCAGATCACCCATGACAAGGTACATGATGGAACTGGAGTTCATCTTTGCCACTCTCACAGGTAAAGGTCAGGGGTACCACTGACACCTCCCACACAGAACCCAGCACCACTTTGCTGTATACGAAGGGCCAAATGCATAACCAGGGTGAAAAAAAGTTACTAAAGCAAATAATTTGTTACCTTAACAATTAAAAGGAAGCCACTAATATTCGTTACCTGTCCTCCAGGACTGAATCCATCGGTTCTACACCATCGGTGTTCACTTCCTGAAGCTGATCAGCAAACTGGATGGCTTGCTGCAGCCGCTCTACGCCCTCCGCATCCCGGAAATCCACCAAGGCCAGGTGTTCCAGGCGGTCCAGCAACTCCACCGACACCCTCTGCTGCACAGAGAAGGCCGAGGTGAGCGCGGGTAACACGGTGCTGCCTTTGGCCGAGCCCTCGCTGCGCGGCAACCCCCGCGCGCACACCTCTGGCACGCGTTGGTTTCCAGAAAATCGACCGTAATCAAACTGCATCCTCCCCCCGACCTC